CTGGGTAACACCTTTCTGATATTGCTCCACTATCTTTCTGAGCAACATTGTGGGAATTGGTGATCCTCTACCCATCTTGGCTTCTGAGAGACACTGCCACTCTGAGAAGCTCTTTTTATACCCAATCATGTTGCCAATTAACCTAATTAGTGTTAATTGGACTTCCAGCTCTTCGTTATGCTCAAATTTACTTTTTACTCAAATTTGTTGACACCGTGAAATTTTGAATCAACATATTTTTCCTTTCAAATGATACATTTTCTCAGATTGAACTTTTGATCTGTCATCTATGGTCTATTCTGAATAAAATATTGACATTTGCCATCTCCACATCATTGCATTCAGTTTTTATTCACAATTTGTTTGGTGTCCCAACTTTTTTGGAATCTGGTTTGTAGATTATTGCTGTGTATGGCTTATTTCTAATCTGTGAACTCTTCCACTGGAGACCTTGCAAACCAAGGCCATGTATATCGCAGTGCCTTGCTACAGCTAAGGATGCTTTATGAGCATAGGTTGGTGAAGGACAACTTCCTCATTTTTACTGTGCCATAGTTCTGAACCCAGTGCACTGCATCATTTTTAGCTTTGACACCCTCGAGAAAAACAACAACAACCTCTCTCTCTCCCCTTTCTGTGTAAAGCAGAACTAATGGTACCAAACTCTACAGAACCTGCAGTATTATCTTTATTGACAATTTTTAACATATGTTTTTATGATATTCCTTTAATGCTTTAAGTGCTATCACCCTTATCAAAGTGACCCTTTAAAATCCAAACAGTTAAATATCTGCATGCTTAGTGAAAGTATGAACAATGATCTCCTGTCCTTTATGAAAGCGTAACACATCTTCTTCATGAGGCAGGAAGTTGTGTTTTCTCACATGCATGGTGCAGCAAAGAAAAATGTGGTTACTGTGTGTTTTACTGTTTATACGTGCGTGGTTATTTTTAACCTTACCTTCACTAACACATCCATCCAGCAGAGTCGTTGTGAGTTAAAGTAGTTTTGCTGAAATGCATCATGAGGTCAGCTAAGCAATCCGCACATAATATTTCCGAAACTAAGTTTGTTACTTGTTGCTATCTACCATATTATCTCATGACGGCAAAGTAAGAGGGGCGGCCTGTGTTTGTGTGTTGTTTTTAGATAAAAGTACTGTAAATAAACCATGAGTGTGTTTCATAATGTGAGTGCTAAATTCATAAATTCACAACAAGTAATCAATAAATATAACAGCTTACATTACACTATGAGCCAAATATGTAACCTCTAAAAGCTTGTTTCAGTGTCTGGCTTTGGTCATGCAAAATAAGAACTCATGTTAAAAAAAATGTGAGCTACAAACAAATTGGTTTCCTCAATTTGTTAGAAAGTTTAAAACACCTTCACATTTCTCGTTGGATCACCTCTCTGCCTGATGGACCCAATCAGTGAATTATCTTGTAGAAAAGTGGAAGTTTGAGATGCAAAAAGGAGTCACGCCTGAGCGCACTGCCGTCCTCCTCACTCATCACAGCATTTCTACACTGAGCAACTTTGCCATCTGTGTTTCTTCTTCTTGCAGCTGTTTCCTCGCGGTCAGGAGAAACCCAGAACGTTAAGGAACGGCTGCGTCTGCCTCCGTGATTATGGCTCCATGCAGCAGGACAACCATTGAGAGCTAATTCAGTCATTAAAATGATAACAGACGTGTGTTTACAACAGCTGCTGCACTTTGTGCGCATTAGTTGAATCATCTGCATCAGAGGTTGGCGTTGCAATATCAAATTAAAATCATGTTGACCAAAGCTTAAATAAACAATGTGCTCTGGCTTGCTTCCCTTCCACATCTGGCCAAAAGCGTGCAGCTGTCAGAGACAGAACCATCAAAGCCAAGTCACAAAACTCACACTGGGCAGCACATGTGTGGCAAATTCAATACTTTTGCTATTTACGTGCCAGAAGAAGAGAATAATAACCTTTGCTGAAGTAGGATATTAATATTTAACCTTGCCCACTGATCATATGGGTAATAATAATAAGTAATAGCTAATAACAGCCTAATGCTGCGGTTTCTAGGACTACGATCAGTCATCAGTAATTTGATATATAAAAAAGTAAAAAATTGTTTAGGTTGAAAAAAGAAAAGAAAAGGAAAGAAGAAGAAAAACCTCCACAAAAAACAATCAAATGCCTCAGAGCTATTAAAGTGCAAGACCACAAAATGCAGTAGTGAAATTAGGAGATGGAAGTGTTAAGAAACCACCCTGTCAGCTGAACTTGGTTGCATGCTGTTTCTTATACCTCTGCAAGCACTATCTCAGCTCAGTTGGTACTGTGCACTGGACACGATCATCACCAGCAGAGAACAGTTGTTGCTGCAGGTATGTTGTTGTTGTTGTTGTTTAATTATATGCAGTTATACACAAAGATGTTTATTCAGATTAAAATTTAAATGGGAAACATTTGTTTAAATTAAATGTTTGTTTGTTTGTTTTCACAGAAATTCTAAAACATATTTTCACCCTTAGAAGAAATGGATTATATAGAAAATTGGGACTATGACTATTCTGAAAATACGTCCTACACTTATAATGATTCCTCCAATATCACTACACCTGAAGAGCCAGTTTTTCAGCACAAGCCAAAATGTGAAGGCTCCTGTGTGACTTTAGTCATAATTAATGTGATCATTTTCCTGCTGGGCACCTGTGGGAATGCTTTGGTCATCTGGATTTCTGGCTTCAAGATGAAGAAAACAGTCAACACCATATGGTACCTGAGCCTTGCGTTCTCTGACTTTATGTTCTGCTCCCTCATCCCATTCACCATTGCCTACACGGTGACTGAGGATTGGATTTTTGGCAGTTTTTTGTGCAAGTTTATCCCGTCAGTTATGTTCCTCAACATGTTCAGCAGCATCTTCGTCCTTGTCCTCATCAGTGTCGACCGCTGTGTTTCAGTCATGTTTCCAGTTTGGGCTCAGAACCAGCGCACTGTTAGAAAGGCATTAGTTGCTGTTGTCATGGCGTGGTTGCTCGCCATCGCAGTTAGCATTCCCTCTATGATTTTTCGGGATGTTAAGGAACACCTAGGTCGGATGATTTGCTTGAACAGTTACACACACCAACACGGTCACAAGTTTGTCGCAGTGAGCCGTTTCATCGCTGGCTTTGTTATCCCTTTCATCGTCATTACCATCTGCTACTCTATCATCATCCTCAAGCTTCGAACCAACAGGATGGCCAAAAACACCAAACCATTCAAGGTGATGACTGCTCTGATTGTTGGGTTCTTCATCTGCTGGCTTCCGTACCACGTGTTCATCCTACTTGAGCTGAACCCCCACCACCACAACCTCAACATTTTGAAGATCGGACTCAAAGCAGGCACTGCTTTGGCAGCGGCAAACAGCTTCCTCAATCCTGTGTTGTACGTTTTCATGGGCAACGACTTCAGGCGTAAGTTTAAGAGCTCTCTGCTTTCAAAGATGGAGAATGCAATGGGAGATGAAGGTCGTACCACCAGCCGTTATCTGTCCAGGTCCAGCTCCATGGATGGACGAGCCTCTACACACATCTAGATGTGCAAAAATCACCCCAAACTGTTTCAGTCAGTTGGTTCACTGGACAACAAAAATAATGTTTAAAAATGTGCAATCAATGTAAAATATGTCTTTACTGTGAATGAAATATGTATATTCCAGCTGTAAAAATGACCATGTATTATACATTAGACTCAAAGCATTACCTGTATATTAAGTGTTTACTAAAATAAAATAAATTAAAAACAATCGTATGATATACTTTCATGCAGCAAGGAACACAAAGTGGTGCATGCATTTGCAGATCACTTTCTGATTCTTGCAGCACTCCTGCATGGTTGGATGGTTATAGAAAGCTTGATTTGACTGGTAAAACACTAAAACAAGAAGGAAACAACTTGTGTCTGTTGTTGGAACAGACACAAGTTTTGACTTGCTTTCTTGATATCTTAATTAAAAGTTAAATAAAGGATGGTCAAGAGCACTCACTCTAATTATAATATAACAACGCATTATAGTTTCATGCTGCAACACTTCAATAAGTGTAACTGACCACAATACAGAGTAAGACAGGGTGAAGCTCAGCCGATCACACACTCTGTATTCACAGATACTGTGCAACAATTTATGTTATGTCATGTATGAGTGCTATGAATGTAGTTGTAGTTGTAAAAGTTTGACTTTTGTTGCTGCTTTTCTTTGTTTCTGAGATTAAACAAGATCCATTAAAGTTAGTTCTCTGATTCAATCTCAAATTTCTCAAAAGTTGAGGCTTAATTTGTATTTGGAGGCTGTGCTTTTCAAACAAACAATCACTTACTGAAAATGTACTCATTTCTTATCTGCAATGAGATATGCATTTGGGAAACTGTAAAAAAAAAATGCACAGACAACACTAACATCAGTTAAAACTGTGCTAAGCAATGCGTTTCTGGTGATGAAAAATCTGTAGCAGCCTTCCAGTTTATCGTACATCAAGCTGTTTGCCAAGGAAAAGATAGACTTCTCTCTCAAGGCCAGTTTTCATTTTTTGGGAAAATGTGAGGCAAGAAATATCAAGAATAAAAAAGGGCAAGAAAGGAACGAAGCCATTGTTAGTAAAATGTGTTAATTTTGTCAGAAAATGTTGTCGTGGGGGAGCGAGGTTTGAGTAACATGTGAGGCCAAAATCCTTTCTTTTCACAGCTTTAATAAACTAAAAGAATTTTAATGTCTGTTGTGCATCCGCATTTCACTGACAATTCCAGTTATGTCACTAACATTTTATTTGCACCTGTATCTGATCCAACGGTATCACCTCCGCCTCTGCACACCAGTAGAACCACATGACATATTTGCACACTGTGTTTGAGCCTAATTTTGAGTCTTAATTAGGCTCAGAGATAAACACTCTTAACATTTTTAACCTAAGAGATATCACAACAGGAATTTAAGAGTCTGGGGATTTTTATTCACCATCTGGCTGAAGGACCGATGAGCTCATGCATGCCAAGGAATCCATCGTCCACTTGTTCAAACTTCACAAGAATCACTCCTCCTACACCATTAGCGAGAATTTAGTCAAACTCACACAATGATCATCTAACAGGTCTCACCCAAACTGGGCTGAAGGTCAAGGTGACTTTTGTCATGTCAGATTATCATAGGCTTCTCCGAGAAATGTCTGTGCACTTTTGTATACCTTAATTATTATTGGCCATGAAATAATATTAATAATAATAAAAATACTCTGGAACTAAAACATTTTTATTTGGTGGTGAAGTAGATTAAATCGTCCTTGATATGGCTGTTTGTGAGTCTCACTGACTTCTCAGTGGAGTTTAATTGTCTTAGTTTGTACAGCCAAGCAGTGAGAAAACCTTATCACCTTCCTTTTGTACTTCACACATTACAAAAACCAGTGAATTTTTGGTAAATCGTGGGCCGGATGAGTTCCTATACCTCAGTGACATTCTGCTGAAGCAGTGTAGGGCTGTGACAAGACACAAGTAGATTTCTCAAAACACTGGCAGTGAGTCACAATGAAATGTTGGTTAGAGAGTTAGAGACTCTCAACTATTTCTGATCTGAAATTCAATTGTTTTTCTGGAGTTCTGCCCACTGAGGCTTCGGGAAAACTTTTATACTGTGAGTTAAATGTGAAATACAGTATATGTGGTTTACTGTGAAATGCCAGTTATTTCATCAATATTTTACTTGCATATATTGTATATGGTGCAATGGTATCATACCGGTCACTGCACAAGAACAGAGAAGCCTCTTTTTTTCACAGCATGTTTGAGTACGGTGGGGTGAAAGTTATACTTAAAAAGATATACGCTCAAAACACTTGCATACACACTTTAACAGAAAGGAACAGTCTCTAATTTCTATGGTAGTTGTATTTTAATCAAGAGAGACAGAATTTCAACACAATACGAAACATGAAGTTATAAACTGATTTGCATGTCACTGAGTGAAATCGGTATTTTATCCCCTACAATACAATCAGAATTCTGGCTCCTATAGATGGGCTGTGTGCCACATTACAGTCGATCAATTTCAGATACTCCTGACTCAACTTGTTATGTGTGTAAAGCACACCTGTATACAGATTCAGTCTTTCATTCGAATCTGTCCACCACCGTGGACAAGACCAAAGAGCTGTCAAAGCAGATCGGGGACCAGATTGTTGACCTGCACACAGACTGGAATGCTCTACGAGACCACCAGGAAGAAGCTCGGCAAGAAGTTACCATTATTCTGAAGTGGAAGAAACATAAAATGACAATCAGTGGCCCTCAGGATGGAGCCCAAAACTACACAGGAGGAGCTTAAAATGACCTGAAAGCAGCTGGGACCACAGTCACCAAGAACACTTTTGGTAACACACCACACCCCAATCTTCCAGCATCCGCAATCCCCCTGTAGGCATGTTCCCACAGTCAAGCTACAGGACACACTGAAGAGGGGTCATGGATGGGTCCTTCAGCAGGACAATGACCCAAAACATACCACCAAGTCCACAAAGGAATGGCTAAAGAAGAAGCACATTAAGGTGATAGAGTGGTCTAGCCGGTCTTTAGACCTTAGTGTTTTTGAAAATTTGTGGTGGGAGCTGAAGCTTCGAGTGTGTGAGACTCTAGTGAACAACTACAAGAAGCGTTTTACTGCTGTGGTTGTTGACACGGGTTTCTCCACCAAGTAATGAGTCAGTGTGGGGTCCAAATACATCATTCACTCAGTGACACACAAATCAGTTTATGACTTTTATGTATGACTCACTGCAAAAATGAAACTACTTCAGATGAAATATCTGAGACTGAGGATTCAGAAGGGGATCAAATAATTATTTCCCATGCTGCAAGAAGATTCACAACTTAACAGGAAGCATGAGAGGAATTGAGTTTTAGTAATTTTTTAAAATGTTGAAACAGTGTAGGGCTGTGGGGAAACCCTTAAAGCACAGATTACCTGAAACCCTGTCAATGAGTAACAATGTTGGTCAGAGATTTAACCTTTAAAGCTGAACTGTGTTTGTAACCTGCCCACGTATAAATGTGAAAGAGTTTGCTTAAAGTCAGGAGTTCTACAAACTGTGTCAGAAGCCACTGGATGGTTTCTGTTTACAGTCACCACAATCAGTCCTGTTTTAAAACCAACACACATAGTTACTGGTAAGTATTCTACTATGACTTTAAATGTGATCTAGATCATGCTGGAGGAAATGCTGGCAAACCTGACAAAAACCATAAGTAAGTATTAGGGTCATTACTCAAAAACTAAGCAATTTGTCATGTGCAATTACTGCTGATTACGTGACTTTTTGGTTACTCTGTGGCCTGAAATGCATGGTAACATAATTACAAGTTAATACAAACCTCAGGCTACAAACCAATCATAATAGGGACACACTTTTTTGATACCGGTATATCATTGATAGCCACCACACACTCAGCCTGTCATTAACCTGTTATTAACTATTAAATGACTATATGATGCCTTTGCCTTGCCTGTAAATCTCATGAAGCTTTGATCATCAAGATATTTTGCAAATGTGGTTTTCATAAAAGTGACTAAGGTGCTGTCAGACAGTGTATGTGTAAATGTACCTTGACACCAAGCTGTGGCTTGGTGTAGGAACATCATTGGTTTCTCCAGGAAACGTTTGTGGGTGATGTGAAAAAATAAATGAGGCACAGATGCAGTGTTGTCTTTAGTGTCAACTTTTACAGAAAATATATGCCACTATACAGTTTTACCATTGATGTTTAATTCGTCTTTCTTCTCTGGCGTCTAGCTTGTACGCTTTTTTGATTATGATTATTCTTTTGGAGTTCTGCATCATTTATTTATTTATTTATTTATTTATTTATTTATTAAATTTTTGTTGTTCAAGCATACACTTTTTGCTGCATGCTAGACATATCTTCAGTGATCTACCCTGGCCTATCGGCTGTTACAGACAGCGTTTCCCAGATGACCCAGCCGGGGTATGCGAGGCCCCGGCTTGTATCCAGGGATCCTCTGATATGTATCACCCTTCTTCAGCCAAAGCCAGCTTCTATGCTGCTTCCAAGATTTTTTGACAGTTTTACTCATTTGGAGTCTCCATATCCCCAACAGCAGTATGACTCAGTGTAGAGACTGGCCTGCAAAGACTTTCACCCCTCTCACCTCTCACCTCACACCTTCCACCTCTGCCTCTGACAGCTGGCAACTAGGTCCACGTCTTTCTTTCCTGAGCTTACTGTACTCTAACTGGTCTTCCCACGGGACTGTCAGCTCCAGCATAACACACTAACTTCTTTCAACTTTCTGGATAACTGGACAGTGTCTGGTCTGAGTGTGGTGGGTACAGTAACGTCCAGGAACCTCAGCTATCTCCCTGGGACAACCAATGTACACTTTATACAGCTCTTATTTAGCTTCAGTGCTGAGGACGCAGCTTCACTGCACCAGTTCCCACAGCAGCCACTACCTAAAACACACAGTGAAACATGCAAGAATAGCAACAGAGGCTACAACATCACAAGCCTGCATGTCATCCCTGCTTTGGTTACATGATGAAGATCAGGCTCAAGCTGCCGGGCTGCGGTTGGCTTACACTCAGCTTTAACATCACTCTGGGTTCTTGCCTTCGAGCTTTGTGTTAGCATGCTGTCTGTGCAGATGCTTCAAAGGGTCATTTCAGCAGCACTGGATAGATGTTTCTGTCCTGGATACGGTTTGATCTTTACCATCATGTTATTTCTCTTTGGTGCAGTAAAAATAAAAGTATAGTTCACATCTCCACTCATGGAAAGATGCAGAGTGGTCTATTTCTTCCCAGCACAACTGACATTAGCTCATTGGAACTTGCTTGCAGGAAAAAGGCACAATGGATGATTTTCTTTCTCTCTAATCACAGATCATCCAGATAACTAGCTGTAGTTGACTATCTGATACTTGTAACTGTACAGTAATCTATTATATTACAGCATTTCAGAAATATATAATGCGTTTCGTGATGCCTTTCACCCAAAACTAGACAGCTGTAGTATAAATGCTGTTTGGTTTTTGGTTGGGAAGAAAAAGACAAGACAAGAAATATCTTGCTTACATCCGTCTGGCAGAGGTCATAGAGGATGAATCCTGATATCTTTGGTAATCCCTTCAATTTTCCTCCAGCCAGTAGGAGGTCAACATTTTGGCTTTTTCTAATAGACTGCCAATAATTTCAGCACAGATATCCACAAGCCTCAGGTAAAT